TTTTTAAGTGGGAGAACTTGCACAATTGGTGGCGGACTAAATACTTTTTTGCCCCACTGTATACATGGAAATATTTATTTACTTACTTTATATTACATAAAATATGCATACACAGACGCACACATGTATGATCTAAGTTTAGGTACATGTCTGAATGCAGATGTGATAATGCCTGGTAAGTTTGCTGTTGTGATATTTTTATTTCAGCAATCATTTGCTTTGCCAACTGAGGACTCTCAGTTGACCTCCTGCTTCTTTTTACCTGTTTCTTCTGTTTATTATATTATGCTGGTAATTTTAATATTTTTAAATTTTAGCTTCACTATATGCATTATGTAAATAATTTGCAATATAGGTTAGGTTAGGTCCTGGGCATGAATTGATTGCAGAGTGTATTTCCTGCATTTTAACCAACACTGCACTGAAGGCTAGCCAGGATTATTGGTATTCTTCAAGAAAAATCCAGCTAGCTGTATTAAAATGAGATATTAAATCAGTTATTGTGATCTAACAAAATGTAAGTAACTACATAAATGCTGCTGCCCCAACCTGGCCTCTGTGACTTAACTGGCTATCTCTTGTCTTATTCTATAGCTTTATGACTTAATGACTATGGCTTTCAAGTACCAAGTTCTCCTCTGCCCTCGACCCAAGGACCTTCTGCTCATTACTTTCAACCATCTGGATGCCATTAAGGATTTCGTCTATGAATCGCCCAAAATTCTGAACCAAATTGATGTTACTTTTCGGAAGCTCATTGATGTACGAATGTCCAATGTTCTGTCTTCCACTCAACTGATGCCTAATTGTGCAGAGTTACAGAAAAAAATATAAAAGCAAAGTAAATTACAGAAAGAATTATACTTTTGTCAACAATAGATTTAGCTTTCTGGGAATAAAGACATTGGAAAGGAACCAGTGAGTTGCACATGAGCTACAGTGGGGCAAAGAAGTATTTAGTCAGCCACCAATTGTGCAAGTTCTCCCACTTAAAAAGATGAGAGAGGCCTGTAATTTTCATCATAGGTATACCTCAACTATGAGAGACAAAATGGGGGAAAAAAATCCAGAAAATCACATTGTCTGATTTTTAAAGAATTTATTTGCAAATCAGGGTGGAAAATTTGGTCACCTACAAACAG